ATATATATATTTTTAGTCAATTTGAATGCTTGAATAAATTGTATGTATAATATATCAGCAGAAGATATATTCACAAACATTTAGATCTGACTATAGGAAGCAAACACACACATGCTTATACATATATATGTTTTTATATATATACTTTTTACTCTTAAATGAAATACACACACACACATCTACTTTTTAGTCACTTTGAAATTCTTTAATATGTGAGATCAACAAAAGATATATTCACAAAGGTTAGAACCTTTGGGTCAGACTGTATATGAAACACACACACACACACATATATATATATATATATATACACACACACACTAAAGTTTTGATTTTTGTTTTGTTTTTGCATGGTATTTTCAGATAAAAAATGAAATCAAATTTAATTGAGAAGATGCAATTTGTTCTCCTTCTGACCATACTTTTATCAATACAATACCTGATTTAGGAAAAAAAAACACAAGTAAAAAGTGGTAATAAGGTTAACTAGCAACTCACCTGTGTCGTTAAATCCATTGGAGACTCTGGTAAGATGTGAACTGATGTAGACTACTGCTGTTACTGCTGCTTTTGTGTTTGAAACAGCTATAGGTGTATGTCTGTGTGTTTGCAAGTGTATTGGTGTATATTTGAGTGGGTGAGACACAGATAGAGAAATAGACATTCTCTGTGTATGTGTGCGTGAGGAGAGTGTAAGAGAGAAAAAGAGACATTGTCTATTGGAGGAGGTGGGGGGTCGAGAAGCCTGCAGTCCTATCTAGTGTGGTGTCTGCAAAATGTTTGCTCCAGCCACTGACTGCATGATGTGCTTTGCACAGAAAAGTGGGAAAAAAGGTGGTTGGGAAAATAACCAAACTTCTCTATCCTTAGAAAAAAAAATTAAGAAAATAATAAATGTTTAAAGCAGTTATATATATATATATATATATATATATATATATATAAAACTTTTCACATATATTTACGTATGAACGTCTGTAGGTATAAATAGCTGGTTTATTCTTTGATTTTATCCTGGAGTAGTTTTATCTCAATTTGAAGCCAACTCTCTTTTTTCACCATTTTTTTTCTTTTTTGTAATCAGACATAAATACCGATAAATAACTTCTGAAAACAGAATTAGAAGTAAATTAAATTTTTGTCAAGGAAAAAAATATTTTGCTGTCTCTTGTTTTTTTTTATTATTTTTGTTTTTTTTATTTTTGCTTCTTTTTTAACTTTTCAGTTTTTATTTTATATATTCTGTTTTACTTATCTTTAAGCTATGAATTTGTTTTTGAGAAAGATCTGTTTATTATTTTTCTATAATAAGTGTATTATTTTCTGTAATATTTCTTTTGTCTTTATTTAAAGAAGTCCCATTTATTTATGAGTGTTCTATCAAGATCATGCTTTTAATGATTGGTTGATTCATTATTTTATGGCTTATCAACCCTTTGCAGATTATTAAAAGCCAGAAAATAATTTTAAATTCTAATTTTTTTTTTTTGAGATAATTATGGTTTAGTGATACAAGATCTACTAATTAGCCCATAGCTGGGAGGAGAATAGATGGATTTATACCTTTTCCAGGGGTTTTGTGCATAAGTGAATATAATGGACCCAACAGGAATTGGAACTCGGTCTTCCAATTTATAATTCTGAGCCATTATCCATTACACTACTTGCACATGCAAGCTTACAGCACCTGTTATTCCCAAATGTCATAATTTTAGTAACAATAGAAAATTAATACTTTTCTCATATTTTCTTTTCTTGAAATCTGTTGCCTGATTTAATATTATGCTTCATTTTCAAAATGCAAGTTAAGGAAAATGTCTTTTTTATTTTACATTGGCTACATTTAATAAGTTTCAGTGTAGATTAAAGATGAAGTAAAAAGTAAATCCTTTCAGAATAGATTAAAGATGAAGTCCTTTTTTCTTTGTTTTTAATTAATTGTTCCCCCAAATCTGATTTTTATATCCAACTCTTTATAGATGTTTTTATTACTGCACAACATTTTAACATTTTGATAAAATTTCTAGTTTATTTCAATACACACTCACAAAAACCAAAGAAAAAAAGAGATTTTTCATTTGTTTTTTTACCTATATTTAATTTTTATTTTAAAATTTCACAAAACTGTGCACAATATTTTCAGTGACAGTTGTCATTTTCCAGGACCCAGAATTTTTTCTGGTTTGTATTTTGTGGGAGATTAAGTAGAAAATTTAAAAATTAAATAAAAATTCGATAAATTTTTATTTCTCCACCCATAGATTAATGTATGTCTTTATTTTTCTATCTAAAATGCTTGCCATTTTTTTTTTTTTTTAAATTTGCACCATTTTCTCAAATCTGCTTTTATCTTATTTCCACTTAACTTTGCAAATGCTCTTCTTCAAGTGCAGCTTTTCGCTAAATAGAAGAAGGGGAGAAAAAGAAGAATAAACTTTCCTACTTAAGATAAAAAGAACAAAACAAAAATTAAATTCAACTTTAATGCAAGTCTATTCAAGAACTTCAAAATTTAAGTGCCTCCTTATAATGAGTTTGTCAGTGAGACATCAAACGAGATAGTGATCAGAATTCTGGTGTCCACAATGCTTCGCTTGATATTAGTTCATTCCTCAAGAAATCAATACCTTGCAATCCTCTTCATGGATATATGATTTCAATTAAAGGACATACATATGAGGGTGTGCTGAAAAGTTCTCAGCCTGAACATCTCTCCAAAATAAGTATTTTCATGACCAAACATCAGAATACTGATTTTGGCAAATGGGTCAGACTGAGAACTTTTCAACAGTCTCTTGTGTATGTGTGTAGATATATATAATTAAATTAGATATATAAATGCTCAATACTTATCAACGCCTGACTCAGAGTTTTGTCATTTTTTTAATCACTTATCAGGACTCTCAACAAGAATATATATATATATATATATATATATATATATATATATATTACAAAATTCAACCTTTGACAGAAAATATTTGCCAAAAAAAGTGCTCAATATAGTTTTCAAAACCCAAGATGTAGGGTAGTTTAAGATATAAAAAATATATATAATAATCCATTTAATTTATGTAAGTCCTTATTCAACACTACTTTAAACAAAAGGTTAGTTAGGAAACCCCATCACTACTGGAAGGAGCAATTGTATAAATCTCAACTGAAAGTAGAACTGGCTGCTGAATGTTTCCTTATAAGGAAACATTTAATATTACCATTACCATAATCATACTTTCATGGATATTTGTGCATCCAATCTTCAGCCGTTCTTTGCGAACTTATATATATATATATATATATATATATATACGTAGATAGATAGATATAGAGAGAGAAAAAGAGAGTACACTAAGTGAACTATAAGATTTTTTAGGGAACTATATATATATATATATATATATATATATATATATATATATATATATATATATATATAGGGTGATTGATTATAGAGAAGAGATCAATACTTGTTTCCCTTATATTATGAATCAGTATATTGTATGCCAGTTTAAAAAGGATTGAAGCAATTAACAATTCACAGATTATATAGTTTCTTGTGATATAAAAATGAGCTTGTCAAAGAGGTGGGTAAACTTAGAGGTTGGGTGGAAAATTCTTTGATCGTAAATAACCAATTCTGGTTAATTTCTTTTTGAAAAGCCTTTATCACCCATTCTGAAATTAAATTCTAAGAACAAAGCTCACGTGATGCATTGAATTATATTACAGCTGCCATGGTTGAGTGGTCTGAGATGTTTTCAAGAATAAAGAAAGATGGTGATTCAGACAATTACACTAAATCCGCTTCTATGATTTCTGCTTTTGCTTTTTATCTTTTATTCAAAGCTATTGTGTCCAAATGCCTCAACTAGAATCCATTAGTTAAATTGTTAAAATATAAAAAAAGAGGAGGAAAAATGGCAAGCTCCAATAATTTTTAGCTTTTATACTAAATACATGGATTTAATCAAATATTTGTTTGATTCATTAGTTACTGAGGTGAAGTGGTCTGCTGGATTTATTTTTTCTCTAGATAAGCACTTGACTTTGAATATTAGTCTAATCTAATCTTGTCTGCAAGTAAGATTTTCTCAGTCAGTCTGATATCTCCAATTTGTTTTTGCTTTTAACAGATGTTAAAAAATAAAACTTAGATTTTTCATAAAATCAATAAGGGAAGTAAACCATATCTTATGATAATTAAACAAAAGTTTTTTTAATCTTTTTTTTCAGAACTGTACATACTGAAAAATAGTTGCTGTATATCATTGTTTAACAACTAAATTCTGTTTATTGTTTTCTGTTGGTACAATTTCTTTTTCTTTTACTCAAGCTGTATGTTTTAAATTAAAAGTAAATGTGTAGTAATTTTCATTCTTTTTTCTTTCATTTTTATCTGTAATTCTCAGGCTCAGTTTTTATTCTTTACTAGTGGCAAAATTGCAAACATGTTTAGCATAGAATTATTGTTCATAAAAGTCTTTATGAATTGCATGAAGGTTTTAAAATGTCCAAAACTTATATATTCTTTCCATTTTAGCTCTTTCTTTTTTAATTTGTCTTTTCCTGCTGAGTTTTCTATCAAGAGGCTGGAACTCCAATAATTGTTGACAAAGTTAATTCTGGGATTTTATCCATAAAATGGTGTTAAATTAAAAATAATCTCAAGATTATAAATATGTGAAATTCTTAAGTAGCTTAAGCTTTATTTTAGTTAAGATTGTTCTTAGGTTGTATCAATACATTTTAGTGTGACAGCTATATACAACACAAGTTCTCATCAGTTTATACAAAAGGAATTTGTTTAAAGAGACAGATCCTTCAAAAACTGGGATTTGGCCTATAGGTTCAGAAGATGAGACTTTAAAGATATTAAAAGAAAAAAAATCAGATGGGATGGGTTTTCCTTGATTATGAAAAATTGGGAACGACAAACATTTTCCTGAAGATTTTTATATCATTAAAAAAAAAACAAAAAGAATCTCCTCACAGAATATGTATCAGCGTTTTTTTTTTGAGAGCGGCAGCAGTAGGGAGGGTTGTAGTTCAGTATTGGTTTGTAGTGAGTCGGTCAGTGTGTGCATGGATTGTGGGGGACCGCTACTATCTGCAGATGGTAGCCTCAAATCAGTCCACTGGGTGCAGTCCGGAATGTGGCCAATGTTAGGGGTTGTTAAACATCGAGAAGTGACTCTTGTGATTTCAGGACAGGTGAATTTTTGCTGTTGTTGTTGTTGTTGTTGTTGTTGTTGTTGTCGTTGTTGCTGCTGTTGCTGCTGCTGCTGCGTTGCTTTGCTGCTGCTGCTGCTGGTCTTGGTTGCTTCAATCTGTTGAAAGTTTGGGTCAAAGCATTCAGTCGAAAACAAATCTAGAAGGGGAAAAAATTAAAAAAATAAAATATGAAAAAAAAATTCCCCAAAATATTATACAAAAAAAATAAAATGTGAAAAAATAAACACACAGAACAATAGAAAAAGAAAATAATTATAGCAATAAGTCTTCTATGAAGTTGTCTCTCAGTAAAATCTGCAAGCCAATTCTGAATTAAAACTAGTAGTTTGCTTAGTTTGGTTGATTTTATGGTATCTCGAAACTTGTCGGGTTATTTAATATTGATCTTTATATGAGGCTACAAGTGAGACTTGAACATGTTACTCAATAGTAATGACCAATGTGATAGGCACATAGTCAAGGAATTAGAATATTGATTGATTTGTTTTTTATGGCTTATCAACCCTTTGCATGTTATTTAAAACCAGAAAATATTTTTAGATTGTAACAAATGTTTTTTAAGATAATAATGCTTTAGTGATACAAGTTTTACTTATTAACCCATAGCTGGGGGAGAAGAGGTAGATTCATAACTTTTCCAATGATATTTGCATGTAAGGGAATAATGAACCCAACTGGGATTGAAAATCAGTTCTCCAATTAACAATTCTGAGCCATTACAGCACCCGTACATCTAACTTTACAGCACAGTTACCCATCTATGTCTTCTACAGCTTATCAACTTTTTGCAGGTTATTTAAAGTGAGAAAATATTTTTACATTGTAAGAATTTTTTTAGATAATAATGGTTTAGGGATACCATTCTTACTAATCAACCCATAGATAGGTGGAGAAGAAGTGGATTCCTACCTTTCCCAAGGTTATTTGTGTGTAAGTGAACATAACTAACCCAAGTGCAACTGAAAGTAATAGTTTCAAGCCATTATGCATTACACTACCTACACATCTAAACTTACAGCAAAGTTATCCATCTAGATACTGATCAGGCCCTATGTTGCTTAACTTCAATGATGATATGAGAATCTGTGTTTCAATGTGAAGTGACCATAAGTCTAGAATATTAACATTCTGACCATGAGACTAAGGTTTGTATCTCAACAGGATTGATTTGCCAAAAGGATAACTACTTGATAATATTGGCCTGGAGAGATGATTCCAATATACAATAATGTTGAGAATTGCCTGAAAACTACACCACTGATTGATCCAAGTCATGTGATTGAAACTGTTTGGAAACTGTTGATGGTTGTTCTAGCACAAAGTCACAAGTCATCATGACTGAGGGGTTTGAGTATACTTGCCTTATGTCTTCTCTTTTAGAAACTGTAACTAAGGCCTACCTATAGTTGCAGTATAAATAATGGTTTGTCTCTGTCAGTGTTGAAGAAACATAAATGTGCCTGAGCAGGTGTTGGCAACAGGGATTAACTAACCACTCTTACAGACAGGCATACTTGAAAAAGAAGCCAGCTACAAAATACACATTTAATAATGTTCAACCAGGCTAGGCTCGTTAATCATTACCCAATGCTGAGGTTATTGTAGAATGCTTAATTCTTTTAATATATTTCTGAGAGTAAGAATAAAAACAGTACCAATTAAAAGTACAAATTTTCTCAGAGGCCAGAAAAAGTGACACTGAAATCCAAAAGTGCATTGGAAGAGCGAAAAATGCCTTCCAAAACTAAGCAAAATATTAAGAAACAAAAAAATTGTTAGAAACAAAAAAAAAGGAGTACTGAACTATTATATAATATCAGACCTCCTATATAGTAATGAATGATCAAAGATGAAGAAAAGAATTGAGCAACAGAAGGATGCTGAGAATCCCACAGACTAAACATGTGAGTAATGAGGAAATTTGAGAGAAAATGCAAGCAACAAGGACATTTATACTTAGAATCAGAAAGTAGCATTTAAAATTTCTAGGGTACATAAAAAGGAAGGAGGGCTTGGAAATTTTAACCCTCCAAAGGACATATTGAAGGCAAAAGAGACAGATGAAAGCAGCAAATAACCTACCTAATTTTGTAATTGGTTAGCCAAATGGGGATTAGGTTTGGGTTGGTTTATTTTGTTTTATGGTATATCAATCTCAATAGGTTATTTAATGGTGACAGGATTTTTAGGATAGGTTCATATGAATAGAATATGTATTCTTTGTAAGAAATCAGTTTGTAGATCAGGTTTCATTGACATATTTTTGTAAAGAGTCAAATGTATTGCTGGTAATATTTTTTTTTTCCAAAATCTATTGCTAATATTTTTACTATAAAAACCTATTTTTATACTTTCATAGTGTTTTGACCCCAGTTTGGGGGTTAATTATTTGCCCATAGCTAGTACACTGGTCAGGGTGGAACAGCAGAAATTATGAAGTGGTTCTATGCTCCTTAAAACCTTCTGATCAGATGCCTTGCTGCTGGATGTAGTTTATCATTATACCCAGGATCCCCAGGAATTATGAGAGATAGAAAACAGATAAAGCTACAAAGAACAGGAAGTTGTGGCTAGCCATGATCAGCCACTTCCTGAAGAAATATCGCATATAAAAGTAAATAATGTTTGAAGATGCTCACTTACATCAATAAGCTGTAAACAAATTAGTTTTGATACATAGGCACATGTAATTTAATGCTTAACAAGCTAAGCTAATAGTTCATTACTAGTAAGTTCTATCCTCACTGTGCTCCAGTAATTAACTGGATATCTTGTCATGATATACTGGTTAACAAGCTTGTCTTTTAGATTATTAGTATAGGGATCTGACTCATATATCTCTTAATTTAAAATTTATTTAACTACAAAGTAAATCAGAATTTGAATCCATTTGATTTGAAGCAACACTCACATAATCTTCATCTATAGATTATCAGTTTCACGCCTCATGTGATTTTCAATCACCATTTAGTATTGATTTTTATGTCCATACTGTTTATATCTACAAATCCTTATATATATATATATATATATATATATATATATATATATATATATATATATATATATGAGGAGGCATGGTGGAGTAGTGGACAGCAGCTCGGATTGAGGAATCGGAGAGCTGAGTTCAAATTCCAGTTGAATTCAATACATTCACTTATGTGCTAATACCCTTGGGAAAGGTATTAATCCTCTTCTTCCCCTTCCAGCTATGGGTAAACAGCAAGATAGCAACTGGTCTAGAAGAACAACAACTCTGAATTCAAAACTTGTGGAGCATTGTTTGGGGACCATGTGGCACATAGTGGACCAGGTCTCTGTATTTGGCTCTTCAAAAAGTGTGGTTGGTTATGCACAAAGCCTTCACCACTATAATCAAATCATATGTGTTGGTGTCTGGCTGTTGGTTCCCAGGAACTGAGCTGCTTGACCCTCATATATCGACCATATATATATATATATATATATATATATATATAAGGATTAATACAAATATAAAATTTGTCACTTAGCTGATTGATGTTATATCCAGCACTTCTACTTCAGAGTTTCGTAGACAAATCTTTGTGTAATTGTTCAGTCTACTCCTCACAGGGATTGACTGTTGATTTTCTCATTTTCATTATTATTTAACTAAGTTAAAAAATAATTTATGCACTATTTATTGGTCTTCGGTTGATTTTTTTTCTTTGTATGCATGTGCATATGTGCAGAATTTTGTGGTAGATATAATACTTTAAACATTATTTTTTAGAGGATTCCCATATTTGAGTAGACACTCTATTTATTTTAAACCGTCTACTTTTTTCTACCAACCTGAACATTCAAAAAATCTTATTAAAGAAAAATATGCCCTCTGGCAGGATCCAAACAAGTGTTCCCCTTTGTAGGCTAAACCATTGTTTGATCTGATGTGCTTTTGACCATTAGGCTATGAAGAACTTTATAATCAAGCAAGGTTCTGTTTGTCTTTAAAGCACACTTTATTTGTTCTGATTTCTTTGAAAGTCATATCTGCTCAGTTTCATATCTGAAACTTAAAGCAATTTCCAAAGAATTAATGGATTTTTAATTAATAATTATTTTAAAATCTCTTACATTAAAAAATAAAAAGGAAAGATATATATATATATATATATATATATATATATATATATATATATTATTATTACATATATAATATAAATATTAAAAGGTATATATAAAATATTAAAATTAAATATATATATATATATATACACACACACACACACGTGTGTGTATATATGTATGTATGTATTTATCTATCTATCTATATATATATATATATATATATATATGTGTGTGTGTATAATGAAACTTGTAAATAAGAGGGATTGCTGTCCAAATACACCCACACATACATACATATACACACACACTTTTTGGGCAGCAATCTCTCTTTTTTACAAGTTTCATTAAAGATGTCTGACTGTTATTAAGATTTTATTTCATTTTTCTTGTTTTCCATACTGGACATAAAGTGTGTGAAAATTGTCCAACTTTTTTTTATATCTGAGTAATTTTAGATATTCTATTAGTCATTATCAAGGATGTTTTTTTTTTTAACTAAATGTTTTTTAAAGTAATATGAGAGTTTGTTATTTTACAAACATGGTCAGGCCCTTCAAATACCCACTTAAGGAACATTGACTCATTTAAACACATATGAAAACCTATCAGACTCCATCAGAAACATACTAGTAGAAAATACAAGCATAATAACCTCCTCCACATATAAAAAAAGGATTAACAATAATGGAAGACCTAATAATAAAAAAGAAAAAGCCAATGTTCAGTAACATTAACTATGAACATGGCCACAATGTGTTGACTGTGTTTGTAAAATAAAACATTCCTATAATTCTTGCTACATACATAAGACAACCTATACATTCAGTTAAAAGTAAAAATAAAATCATTCTTGATAATGGCTAAAAGTATAGCCAAAAGTGCTCAGACAGGCAGAAGTTTTGGATAGTTTTTTCACACTTGCATCCAGAAAAGAAAACACCTCTACGTACACAAGAAAACTTAAATTAAAAGCTTCATCACAGTACCTTGTCAGTTATCTTTAATGAAACATGTATAAAAGAGGGATTTCTGCTTAATATATAT